GCCATTGAAAGATTTCTCTATTTTGAATATTTTATTAACACGTTTGTTTAGCTACCCTGATTAACGACCCTCAGTTGATGAACAAGTTTCTCCTTGGATTCGAGGAGTGTGTCCGTGAAGTAGAGACATATTTGAAGAAGGAAGACTGCGACAAAAAAGACACACTGCAACGCCTTCTGCAACACTTGGTCCAACGCTCAGAAGACCTGAAGAACACAGAGGACAATGTATGTGATTCTATTTCTCCTCTTCTTCCGTTCAGCACTGATGTCCAAGACCACAATTCTTCTCCTTATTCTAATCGCTTGGAGCCGTGTTGTCACATTCGAAAGAATTCCGATACGGTAACTTCTATTGGTCGGTGTGAGCGACTTTCCAATAGCCGTGAATACTGCACTCTTGGAGTTACCGAGCTACGCCTTGTTCCAAAACGCTTGGCAAACGGGGAATTCGCTCTCGTTTTGCCGCAAAGAGTGGCTAGCAGTGTTAATTATGGGGATGTGAATTCGCGTACTGCAACTACCTTCCGGTTTGCCCGTCCGGGCTCCTCTGATCCATCGACGTTTCATCAAGATACATCTTCGACAGTTTCGTCTCGAAATGAAGCCGATTCCCCCACGTTTGGTAACAATCCTAAGTGCTTTAACTCGGAATCCCCCAGCCCTCTGTCGAGTGAAACGTCCGACTTCAGTTCTGATGAATCACTCGTAAAACCTCGAGAACGTCAGGAGCTGAGCCTACCACATCCAGCGGACAATTACTTCGAAGACATTCCCAGAAATCAGTCATCATTTTCGGATAATGTTTGGCGTCCATGGTAAAAACCAAACAAAAAAAAACACATTATTAACTTACTAGTGTATTAATCATTAAGTTAGCCTACAGTAAAAAGATATAATAATTTCGAATCAATGTGGTTTAGAAAAGACTAATCCTGTCCGTCTTAAACCAGTGGAATATCGTTTTAAAAATCAAAGTTATAAACAGAAAAAAAGCAGGATAGAGAAAGCTTTGTAGGCGGCGTGTGTCAAACGTCTGTTGTTTATTCTTGAACGTTTTATTACTTGATCTTAATTCTTGTGTGTTGCTCAAGATTAAAAAAATGCCTTATGACATTATTAAACACGTTAAAATGCCTTATAACATTGTTAAACACATTAAGAATGCCTTATAACATTGTTAAACACATTTTAAAATGCCTTATGACATTATTAAACACGTTAAAAAGTCTTATGACATTATTAAACACGTTAAAATGCCTTATAACATTGTTAAACACATTTTAAAATGCCTTATGACATTATTAAACACGTTAAAAAGCCTTATGACATTATTAAACACGTTAAAATGCCTTATAACATTGTTAAACACATCTTAAAATGCCTTATGACATTATTAAACACATCTTAAAATGCCTTATGACATTATTAAACACGTTAAAATGCCTTATAACATTGTTAAACACATCTTAAAATGC